TGGCCCCATAGGCAGCTTCACCGACGGTTCAAGTACCAACGCCGCTCGCATGCGCCCACCGCTCCCATTTTGGCACACTCCTCACGTTCCGTGGCCCCATAGAGAGTTCCACCGAATGCGGTGCAGACAACGATGATATCCACAACTGCATATGGTTGTGCTCTTCGCCAGGCCAATTTGACGGTCTCGGGGCCCGGTGAGGGCTCTCAGAGGCAGCATCTGTTTGGAACGAATCGTCTTGTCTTTCCCAACCATCCCCTGTGGTGTTGGGTCCTCGTTTTTTGTTGAGACGGTCCCCGCGTCCACCTCCTCCCCCTCCTCCCTCATCCCGCCACCCCTCTCGCATTTGCACATCCCTCCCACGTGTTTCGTGGCCTCATAGGGAGCCCCACCTAAGGCCCCAGTGGCTGCGCCCGCATGCCGCCACCCCCTGATTTTGGCACACTCCTCACACGCTTCGTGGCCACCCAGGGAGCTCCACCCAAGGCCCCAGTGGCTGCGCCCACATGCCGCCACCCCCTCATTTTGGCACACCCCTCACTCGCTTCGTTTTCCCATCAGGAGCTCCACCTAAGGCCCCAGTGGCTGCGCCCGCATGCCGCCACCCCCTGATTTTGGCACACTCCTCACACGCTTCGTGGACACCCAGGGAGCTCCACCCAAGGCCCCAGTGGCTGCGCCCACATGCCGCCACCCCCTCATTTTGGCACACCCCTCACTGGCTTCGTTTTCCCATCAGGAGCTCCACCTAAGGCCCCAGTGGCTGCGCCCGCATGCCGCCACCCCCTCATTTTGGCACACCCCGTTTACGGCTGATTTCCGCGCCCCCATGAGGGCTGCCCCAGCGGCAGCGCCCGCATGGCGGCCCCACCCAATTTTCGCGGCTCCGTCGGGAGCTCCACGCTGGACGAGGGGCCCCCTCGTCGCCTCGGCTGGACGCTACTCGCTGAGAGGTCTGAGGACAGGTGTTGCGCCAACTTGCCATCCTCTCCCCTCCTGGCTGATGTTCCCTGGGCTTATCCAGCGCAGCCCCCCGGCCGCCTCCACAGCCCACTGCCAACGGTCCTCCTTTTCTGCGACCGCTAGCGTTAAGTCGGGCTGTCCCTCTACAGGGGGAATATTCAAAACTACGCAAAAATAGCCTGGGAACCATTTTTTAAAGCTATTTTCGAGCATTTGGGGACTATTTTGGAGTATTTTTAATTTTTCACCCAAAATCACTCTGTCGGGGGACAGGCCCGACCTCACGCTAGCGAACCCTGCCCCTGCGGGTCCCATCGACGCTGGGGTAGCGGGCATCTCGGTTCTTGGCTGCAGGCATCTTTCGATTTCTGAGCCCCAGGCACGTTTTCAGAGATCGGACCTGCAGGGGGCAAGGTTCACCGGTGACTGCCCAGCTTGGGAGGGCTGGACCTCCAACCAAACACAGCAGGAAGGGCCACGCATTTCCAACAGCAATCGCTTCCTGGAGGTCAAGTCTCGAACACAGACCTGTCCCCTCCCTCGATCCCAGACATCCGACGGACTGATCTTTTCCATCCGCAGGCCCTCCGTCCTCGTCGTTCTGCTCACGTGGATCTCTGAGGAGGAATCGGCGAAATTGTGGACGCTTCGCATAACCCCACTAGCCTATCCAAGATCAATCGCCAGGCGAGTTGCTCTGATCAGGGATGTGCAGCAGCATTCAATTATGCTCTGAAAGCCAATCGGAGCATTTCTGGGTCATCGTGCAGCCCTAGGGGCCCTCTTGGGGCCATTCTGGAGGCCTTCGGTTTTGGGTCTATCTTGGGACCCTTTGAGGGCCCTCTTGCGACTCTCTTGGGGCCCTTCTGGAGGCCTTGGGAGCCATCTTGGGGCCATCGCGGATGCCAAACATTAAAGAAGGGGGTGGAGGAGGAGGAGGAGGAGGAGGGGGAATTACTCGACGCGGCGATTCCCGTGCGAGCAGATCGTTTCCCTGGCACGACCTTCCTGTGGGCCCGTGCCACCAAACGTCTGTGTGGGATCGCGTCGCTCGCTCGAGATAGCCCCACAGCCTGCGCAGGTCTGAGCGTGAGTGGGTCTGAGTCTGGGCGAGTCTGAGTGTGAATGATACAGTCAACCCGCATAGTAAGGACGGGCAACCTACCCAAGGGTACCATTGCATCCTTGCCTCCTCGGTGCATCCTTGGCCACTTTCGTTGGTCGCGCCCCGCTCGAAAACTTCGGAATGGGCTTCCAAGGGGCTTGCATCCTTAATCGCGCATCCTTACTCTGCGAGTTGACTTTATGCTGTTTGAGTTCGATCGAATATCGGGATGATGGGTCTGAGCGCGAGTGATTCTGAATGGGAGTCTGAGTGTGAGTGAGTCTGGGTACGAGTGCCGGAGTGTGAATCCGAGCGTGAGCGAGTCTGAGTACGAGTGAGTCTGACTGTGGGTGAGTCTGAGTGCGCTTGCGTGTGTGTGTGTGAAGAGGATGACGGGGAAGGGGGGAGGAGTGGGGCGGAGGCGTCTAAGTGAAACCCTTCTGGCGGCTCCCCCCTTGGGGTGCTGAAACAAGCGCCTCGCTCGAGACACCCTTTCAATCTGCCCGATCGCACATCCGCCTTCCCCTCCCTCCTTTCGTTTCGCCATCATTCCCCCTCCTCCTCCTCCTCGGTTTGCTCGTGCCTCGCGCATCCTCACGCTTTGCTATGCAAGCAGTGCCTCGCTCGAGACATCCTCACAACTTGCAGTGGCAACGCACACATGCAAGCCAGCTCACAGGCACACCGCCAGACACACCCCCACAACACAGGCGCGAAAAGGGAAGTGCCCCTTCCCCTGGCGCGATCCCTTGCCTGCTTGTCCAAAATCCCACTCCTGCCATGTCGCGGTGAGCACTGGACAACAACGAAAAAGACAAAACCTGGGCGGGGGGGGAAACGGGCACACCGCCTGGTACATCCCCACTATCTGGGCGCGCATCCCGGAGTGTCCTGGCCCCCGGCGCCTCCCCCCCTTTCAGGGTGCCCACATGCCACGCCTGCTGTCGGGGGCGGCCAAACGGGGGGTGGTGACGAGGGAGGGGTGGAGCTCATGTCGGGGGCCACGATCTCTCCCCAGATTTCATGGCGCCACTTCTTGTTTCAATACGTCCCCGGCCCTCCCTTGGGCGGCGCACATGCCCCCGGCCATGATTTGGGACGCCCCCCCTCCTTGGCCGCCCCCGACGCTAGATCGCTGAGAGCATTGGACCACCGCAAGACAACCGCAAGCCCGGCGGGGGGCTTATGCGCAAGCAAGCCGGCTGAGACGCCCCCACATTCTGAACACGAGCGGGCCCGTGAGAGGACTCCATAGCGGCTCCCCTTGGAGAGTGCTGGAAGCGCCTCGCCTGAGGCATCCTCACGCTCTGCTCCAACAACAAAAGGTGGTGGGGGGGGGCAGCAACAGACACTCGGTGCCAATCGGGGCAAGAGTTTGGGAGGGTCCCCGCCCCTGACGGCTCCCCCGCGGGAGTGCTGAAGCCAGCGCAACGTTGGAGAGATCTTCACAATCTGCTCCGACAGCGGAGGATGTGCGTGCGTGGCGGGGGCAGATGCGAGTAAGCCAATTCAGACATCATCCTTGCAAACTGGGTGCGAATTTTGGAGTGTCCCCACCCTGTGCGCCCCCCCCCCCTTTAGGAGTGCTCAGTCCAGCGAGTCACCTGTGGCATCCTCACGATCTGTTCCGACAGTAATGAATCGTGGGCGGCAGAAACAAGCGAGCCGCTTGAGACATCCCCACGATTTGGGCGCGAGTTCGGGAGTGTCCCCACCCCCTCTTGGAAGTAATGAAACAAGCGCCTCGCCGGAGACATTTTCACAATCTGCTCCGAGCGGAGCATGTTGGGGGCAGAAGCTGGCAAACCGCTTGAGGCATCCCCACAGTCTGGGCGCAAATACTGCTGAGGCCAGCGCTTCGCCTGAAACACCCTCACACTCTGCTCCGACAGCAGAGGATGTTGGGGGGCAGAAGCACGGAACCCGCTTGAGACATCCCCACAATCTGTGCGCGAATCCTTGAGTGTGCTCGCCCCTGGCGCCCCGCCCCACCCTGGGAGTGCTGAGACCAGCGCCTCGCCTGAGACATCCTCACAAACTGCTCCGAAAGCAGCAGAAAGAGGATGCTGGGGGGCAGGAGCAGGCAAACTGCTGGAGATATCCCTGCAAGTCGAGCGCGAATCATCGAGTGTGTTCGCCCCTGGCGCGCCCCCCCCCCCTTGCCCCTCCCCCCCCTCCCCTTGAGTGTGCTGAAATCAACGCCTCGCCTGAGGCATTATCACACACACACACACACACACTGTGTGTGAGAGCGATTCTGAGTCTGAGTGCGTCGCAGTGAGGAAGTATTTGGACTGCGTGCGAGTGAGTTTGAGTCTGAGTGAGGAAGTGATGTGGCTGAGTCTATCTGCGGAAAGTGAGTGTGTGATGGAACCTGTGAAGAAGAGGAGGTCTGTAATGGACCCCGTGCATCTGAGATATGAGAGTGAAGAAGAGGGAGAAAGGGAGAAGGAGAAGGAGGAGAAAGAGGTTGAAGGTCCGGAGGCCTCTAAGTAATAACAACAATCCCTTTTTCGGAGATGGAGAATAAACCAGCGCCCCCCGTCGGGCCCTTCAAAGTCGCCTCTTGGTACCCTCTTTGGACCTTGCAGCCAGTAGAGGGAGGAGGCCGAACGAGGGGGACGAGGGGGGAGGGAGGGGGAGGGGGAGGAGCAGGAGGGGGCAGGAGGAGGAGGATCCGGAGGAGGAGGATGAGGAGGAGGAGGAGGAGGAGGAGTAGGAGGAGGAGGAGGTGGAGGTGAAGATTGAGGATAAGGATCCGGAGGAGGAGGATCCGGAGGAGGGGGAGGAGGAGGAGGAGGAGCAGGTGGGAGAGAACTAGAATAACGACGACGACGACGACGACGACGACGACGACGATGACAGCGGCGCCGCCGTCGCCAGCGCCAGCGGGCGGCGGACGACGGCGACGTCGGGCCGCCCGCGCCCGCAGCCAAGCCTGTGCCCAGCCGCTGCCCAGCGAGAGGGCGGTCGACATGGTCCTGGCCCTGACGCGCCCAGGCCAGCGCTCGAGGGGTCGTCGTCGTGGTCGTTCTGAGGAGAGGTGCAGATCGGCACCGATGCCCTCCTCTCGTTCTCGCCTCTCTGCGCATCCCGGGGGGCTCGTCGCCACAGCCGGATCTCGCTTCAGGATCCTGGTCAAAACGCGCCCTGGGAGAGGTCCGGGGAGGAGCCGTATCCGTGCCTGTTCGTTCCCCCAGGCGTTATCGTCGTCATTGTCGTCGTGGTCGGCCTTGTATCCACATGTGCACGTCCGGTATCGTGTCGCCATCCTCCCACCGGTCAGCATTCTGTCTCCTCCGTTATTATTCCCTATCCCTCGGTTCTTTTGCTCCTTGCTCCTCCCTTCTCTCCTTCCTTTTTTTTCCGATTTTGCATAGCACGAAATGGTCTTTCTGTGGGAGTCGCAGGTCGGCTGCGACACGCGTCCGCGGATAGCGAAAAATCAGCGCCATGGGGAGGGATGGGAGGGATAGGATGCCAGATGAGGCGCGAGCGCACCTGGCATGCCTCCTCCCCCTCTCCTGGCTCCCGTGGGGTGGGGTGGAGGGGGCTGCTGTGGTCGCGGATCCTCTGTGCCACCACGTGGAGCAAGATGGGGGAGGGAGGAGGGAGGCCCGCAGGACGTGCTGGCACGACACCCGTTCAGGGCCGCCGAGGGCAGATGTCCAACGCTGCAGCAAAGAGTGCACTGGGGGGAGGAGGAGGTGGTGGTGGAGGAGGAGGAGGAGGAGGAGGAGGAGGAGGAGGAGGAGGAGAAGAGGAGAGGAGAAGAGCAGGAGAGGAGGGACAGCCGGAGCGGGCTGAGCGGTCATGTTGTACGGCGGGGGCCTTGGTTCAGGCACGTTCCCAGGAGGCTCCAGGCCCTGGACGGTTCCTTATCTGACGAGGGCGGCAGTGATACCGATGGCCGATCTACGATTGGAGATCCGGGGGCTTCAGACCGAGAATTCGTCATCCAACGCTTCCGTATCCAATGCCCTGGCCGTAATTACACCCGATGGTTGCTCAGGTTGTACACGCAATTTGTACGCTTTTAGCGGACTGCTGCTGTCTTGGCCGGCCGCGCCGCCGATGTCCCGCTGAAGTCAAAAAGTGGCGAAGCGTCCCAGCTCGCCTATAGGCCTACCAAAGAATGTTCTAAGAACGTTCTGTGGTCTGCACGCAATGTTCTTAGAACATTTCGGGCTGGGACTGATTATTTCAAACACATCGGGTTTACGTTCTCATAACATTGTGTTCGTTATTGTGACATTTTTGGGTTCTAAGAACACGTCGTGTTAGGCCTATAGGAATGCCGGGACGGTCGCTCCCTGCTCAAGAAGTGTTGGTGTATTTTTTTTGTTGGTGCACGAGCCTACGCTCGAGAGATCCAGACCCTTTGGATGATCTCTGTGTTTGCACGGTCGTCGGCGTCACCCCGGCATGTCAACAACGCGCGCGCGCCGAGAAGTCTTGCAGCAGGAGCTCCGTGGCGGGCTCTTTCTGGCCACGTCGCTCGGGAAGCGATGTGCTACAGGATGGTTCGGGTCGGACGTACGCCTCCAAATCGGGGGCGGAAAAGAGGGGGGTGATGACGGGGGGGGGTGGATATCATGGCGCAGGCCATGATATCTCCGCAGATTTCATGGCGCCTCTTCTTATTGAATCGCTTCGCTCATTCCGCCGGCCCATTTCGCATGACTGAGCCTCTTGGGGCCGCTGGGGGGCCTCTTCAGCGTCGCTTGGGGGCCTCCTGAGGGCCTCTTGGGGGCTTTTAGGGCCTCCCAGGGGCCTCCTGGGGGCTTCTTAAGGCCGAGGGCTCGAAGTTTTGTTTTGTGTTCCCCCTTTGGGGCATCGCTTGGGGCCCTCTTGGGCCCCTCTTGGGCCGTCTTGGATGCCTCTGGGGCCGTCTTGGAGCCCTCTTGGGCCATCTTGGGGCCTTCTTGGGAGCTTCTTGGGCCCTCTTGGGGCGATCTTGGGGGCCTCTTGGGCCGTCTTGGGGCGTCGGGAAGCCGAAAAGATGGACACGCCAAAATCTGCCCAAAACCTAAGGAAAAGTAATCAATTTTGCCTCTTGGGGCCCTCTGGGGAGTGCTCTTGAAGGCCTCTTGGGGCGTCTGGGGGCCATCTTGGGCGTCTTGGAACGATCGTGTGGCATCTCGGAGCACTCTTGAACCATCTTGGAGGGCTCTTGGCGGCCTCCTGGCCCTTCTTGGGGCTCTCTGGAGGGCCACGGGGGCGGCGCCCAGGAGGAAAACCATCTCTGACCCGAGTCTGCCGGGTATCGCCCGGGGTACTTTTCGTCCGGGGACCCCCAGGGGCCGCCCCGCGCGCGCGAAGTAGAAGTATTATTTAACAGTTACCGGGGATCTTAGCACGCCTCTGGCCCGTTGGGCCGGCGAATTTCATTACGTCCCAGGCCCCCCCGCTGGGCCGCGCACATGCCGCCGGTCATGATTTGCACCCCCCCTCATGGTCACCCCCCTCTTGGCCGCTCCCGACCAAGGAGGACATATATTACGAGTATGTTTCTGTGCGTCACATGCTCACTGCTCTGCAGAGTAATCCTTGAGAAAAAGGTGCTTGGAATGCGCTCTATATAAGAACGTTCGCGCCAGCACATCCGAATGTGGAATAATGCTGTATACCCCCCGTCTGTGTCACAAGCATCGGCAGCGGAACGCGTCGAGCCTGCACCCATCAGCTTCTGATTGATGACCAGGAGGAATCCAGCGAATGTAGCTGTTTGCCCAATATGTAGCTGTCGTACAGGTTCTGTGCCAACACAGGGCATAATGAAACCATATGTTCGCAAGCTGCCTGGACACTCGTTGTGTTTCGCCGAGTCGCTATTTAACCTCTGGTGCAGTTTGCCCTTCGCAGGTGCGTAAGCAACCATCCCACTGCTTTCCCGAACATTTTGATAGGGTCCCCATCTTGGATCTGGACGACATGCGACGACCCTCGACGTGTGTAACATGTTGTTCCAGTTCAGTTCAATACCCTAATTATGCCTCTTCGCGGCAACAACGTGCCACATGCGTGGATAACGTCGCGCGTGACATCATGTGTATATGTTTAGCATCGCAGGCGATGTTGCGATTTGCTTTTATCTTGTCGTGACTGATTGTGCTGCCATTGTGCTGCTGACTCTCGAGCGGTACTGCCCATTTTCCGCGTGGTCCAGTCGTGAAGTAGTGCTCCGCACAAGTAGTCGTTATCATGGCCGTCATCTTGGTATCGCTCGGACGTGTGCATGTTTTCTCGGCGGGGATTATTAAGGAGCATGCTGGATCATCCTGCGAAAAAAGCCACGCACGAAACCGAAAAAAAACACAGGGAATGGACGTGCGAGCGATGGCGAGTCATACAGAAGGCGCCTACTGCGACCCCCCCCCTGCCTTTGGAGATGCCTATGTGACCAAGCGTTGGGCCGAATGTTTTAGCCAAGGTTTTGGACTGTGTGCTCCCCCGGCCGTCGTGGACATCTCCACCTGCCCACCCCAGGACTCCCGAGAACCCTCTCACAATTCCCCCCCTGCAGCCGCCCTCCTCCAGCCCCTGCTCCCCTCCCCCTCCGACGACGACAACGGAGTTAGACGTCAACAATGACGCGGACGCCGACGCCGACGACGGCGACGACGACGACGACGACGGCGACGACGGCGACGACGGCGACGACGGCTGCGGCTGCGGCTGCGGTTGCGGCTTCGTCACGTATCTCCTCTGGGGCAGACCCCGACCAGCGGCCGGAGCACGACAAGGTCCGCGCCCTCGCGCTCATGTCCGCCCTCAAGTTGCCGCCGCCAGAGGCACGACGGGAGCAATTCCTTCCCTCCCCCCCATTCATGTCCATCCGTCGTCCTAAAATGTAATTCCTCCCTGTCGCAGCACCGGACTTTCCGTAAGGGCGGCTGGGCGTTTGCACGGAGACATCCTCTCCAGTTGCGTGCCTGGCGCTTGGTAATACAACAGTGACACGGATGAAGGGCGATCCAATGGGGTCTCTTCGTTTGCGCCGCGCACGCTCGTTGTTATTGAATCGCTTCGCTCATTCCACCGGCCCACTTCGCATCGCAGTGGCTGCATGGTGGTGCGTTCCTACCCATGAGGAACGGTGGGGCAGGCAGGACTGTCCTCGAAGAAATCTCCGGAGATGTGGCTCGCGCCCTGTCGAAGAGAGCCGATAGACTGCCCCAGAGGGCGCCAAGATGGCTCAAGAGAGCTCCAGCAGAGTTGCGAGACGTACCTGGGTTGCGGGTCAGCGTCCTTATGGATGATTGTTGGGGTCTCTTCGGAGGGCTCTCGGGAGCCTCTGAGGAGCAGTTTGAGGCTTCCTTGGAGCCTCTTTGGGGCTTTTTAGGGGCCTCTTGGGGCTTCCTGGGGCCTATTGGGGGTCTTGGGAGCTTCTTCTGGGGGCTATTGGGAGCCTCTTGGGGCCTCTTGGGGGCCTCCAGGGGGCTTCCCGGGCGCGTCCTGGGGCCGAGGGCTCGACATGTCTGGTCGGGCTCCCCCTCTGGGCCCCCTCTTGGGGCCCTTCTGGGGCCGTCTTGGAGGCCCCTTGGGCCGTCTGAGAGCCATCTTGTGATGGGCCAGCTTTCCACCACTACCACCATAAAAGCTGGAGGGGGAGGGGGTCCTCCTCCTCCTCCTTCGTCCTCCTCCTCGTCCTCCTCCTCCCCCCATCCAACTTATGGTGGTGGTGGTGGTGGTGGAAAACAGGCTCATCAATCTTGGGCTATCTCGGGGCGCTCTTGGACGCTTTTTCTCTGCCGGTTTTTGGAGTGCTCTCTTAGGGCCTCTGGCCGTCCAGGGCGGGCGGGCAGGCCTAGAAAAGGCGGTGCCGTTAAATCGGGTCTGTCTCCCTGCAGGAAGAATATTCCCAAATGGTGCAAACATAGTATGGGGACGATTTTTTCTTCTTTTAACTCTTGTTGATTCTGTTTTTGCTATTTTTATTTTTCCTCCCAAATCCGCCTGTAGGAGGACAGGCCCGACCTAACGGTACCGCCAGCATCGCCGGAAACCCAGGCGTCATCAGTGTTTTTTGCACCGTCGGGGCCTCGTCGAAGTCCTCTTGGAACCCTCCTGGAGCGTCTTGGGCGCTTCTTGGGCCGTCTTTGGACCACCGTGGGCCATCTTGGGACGCTCTCGGCCTGAGGCCGTGGGGCGTACCACCCATTTGGCGCTCGATTGGGGCGCCCGGGGGCCTCTGCATCTCTGATCCGATCTTGCCAGGACCTTGCCGGGATCCTTTTCGTCCGCGGACCCACAGTGGCCGCCACGCGCGCGCGATTTAGAAGTATCCTAAATCTCGAACGGAGATTTAAGCACGCTTTTGGCCCGCGGGGCCGACTAATTTTAATTTTTGCACAGATGGAGGGCGGCCCGTTATCAAAGTGGGGTTCTCGCAGTTTGCATAGTATGCAACGGTGCAACAGTTGCACAGATGGCCTGGAGGGCGGTTCTTTTTCTAGAGGGGAGTCTCGTTCGCTTGAACTTTTTTCCAATCACACCACCAGAAGTGTATCTATAATGTCGCAGCAGTTGAGCATATGGACGTCGGTTCATATTCAAATGTTGCTTCTGTCTGGGACTTCTTGAGTTGAATTTTCCCTCACTCGCCGAGCGCGTTCCACTACTCGCAAAGTGCCTACTCGCAAACGTTCGAAACACCATACGTCTGCCTTGGTGTAATTTATCGTACATTCCCTGCGGCAGATCCAGGCCATTTGCGAGTAGCGGCTTTGCGAGTAAGGGAGCGCGCTGGTCGATACACGCGGATGCAGGACGGCTCCTTTTCAAAGAGGGGTTGCCGCTGGACAGTCTCTTTCATGTTATGGCCCCACCCTGTCGCATTCCTCGCAGCTCGACTCGTGAAGGGCAGTTCCTCTTCAAAACGGAGCACCCGAGCGAATGGTTGGCCCACGGTGCGGTCGTCTCGCCTCGTGAAGAAGAAAGCGAATCCCTGACGGGACTTTTGAGGAGGGGACTTGGGACCGGAAGGCGTACCACGATGCATCTTCGGGGGACCTCGTCCAACAATACATGTTATTTCTCGTGCCCGACGCGGGCTCGACTCGGACTTGTCGCGGATTTGGCGTGGATTTGGCGCGGACTCGACGTGGACTCGACAACATTTGATGAGTCCGACCTGGATCCGACACGCATTCGATGCGGATAGGGGCGCGACGGGACAGACAAGGTCCCCGGAAGACGCAACATGCAGTCAAGGCGTCGAGATACGGAGCGCGTTGGATTCGGCATGGAATATCTGTCCTCCGCACCCTTGCGTGGTTGTCCCTCTAGCACTCCTCGTGCACTTAGGCATTCCTGGGGCCAAATATGGGCTCCGTTCCTTGTTCGGCGCTCCTTCTGGTACTTAGTACCTCGACCTGTCAGGGAGGGTGAAGCTGCAGCACCGTTGGTGCATCTTGGCCATGCTCTGGTCGTCCCCCTGCTCCCCGTCCGTGTCCCTGCCCTCTGCCTCGCCCCCTCCCCCCGAGTGGCAGCCACCGCAGGCGCGGCAGGGAGCCGCCCTTCGCGGGGCGGCGACAGATGCGGGGGTCAAGCCAGGTGCACCTCTCGTGCGCCACAGGGGCCCAGAAGGGGGGCCCTGTGGGGCCCCAACAAGAGGCATGAAGGGTGTCCGTAGCCATTTTGGCTCAAGGCACGCTGGCTCGAGTTTTCTCGTCTGCGCCTCTCCTGCACGATACTCATGGTTTCGTAATAAAAGTTGGGGTCACAATGGGGAGGGGATCTGATTTGAGTTGTCTTGAAGGGCTCCAGTGGGGTCTGGGCAAAAGGCCGCCCCTTACGGCTGGTCGGGGGGAGGTCCAAAAATGCTCGTCTGGGAGCGGTGGGACCCCATCCCTTCTATTTCGAAATCTGGAGTACCTTAGGCTTAGTCGGGCATGTCTCTCTACATGAGGAATATTACCAAGTAGTCATAACATAGTCAGGGGACGGTGTCTGGATTATTGTTTGACTAGTTTCGAGCATGTTGTGGTTATCTTCATTTTTCGCCCAAAATCCGATCGTAGGGGGACGTGCCCGACCTAACCTTAGGCCGTCGGTCCCTCGTCGGTCGTCGGTCCCACGACGCGATGCCCGCCCGCCGCGCCCCGCTGCTCGCGGTCGTCCTGCTCGGCGCCGCCGCCGCGGCGGCGCTCTGCGGCGCGGGGGCGTTCTGCGGCGGCGGGCGCGCGCCGCAGGCCGCCGTTCTGCGGCAGGGCCCGTCGGCCAGGTCCCGCTGCTGCTCCTCCTCCTCCTCCTCCCCCCCCTCCTCCTCCTCCTCCTCCTCCTCCTCCTCCTCTCCTCCTCCTCCTCCTCCTCCTCCTCCCAATCCTCCCCCCCTCCCCCTCCCCCCCCTCCTTCCTCCTTCCCCTCCTCCCCCTCCTCCTCCTCCTCCTCCTCCCCCTCCTCCTCCTCCTCCTCCTCCTCCTCTTCCTCTTCCTCCTCCTCCTCCTCCTCCTCCTCCTCCTCCTCCTCCTCCCTCCTCCTCTCCTCCTCTCCTCCCTCCTCCTCATCTTCCTACTCCTCCTCCTCTTCCTCCTCCTCCTCCTCCTCCTCCTCCTCCCCTCCCCCCTCCTCCTCTCCTCCTCCCTCCTCCTCCTCCTCCTCCTTCCTCCTCTCCTCCTCCTCCTCCTCCTCCTCCTCCTCCTCCTCCTCCTCCTCCCAATCCTGCCCCTCCTCCCCCCCTCTTCCTCCTTCCCCTCCTCCATCCTCCTCCTCCTCCTCCTCCTCCTCCTCCTCCGCCTCCTCCTCCTCCTCTCCTCCTCCTCCTCCTCCTCCCCCTCCTCCTCCTCCTTCTCCCCCTCCTCCTCCTCCCCCTCTTCCTCCTCCTCTCCCCTTCTCCTCCTCCTCCTCCTCCTCCTCCTCTTCCTCCTCCTCTTCCCCCTCCTCCTCTTCCTCCTTCTCCTCATCCTTCCCCTCCCCCGCTCCTTTTTCTCCTCCCCATCCTGGGCCCCATACTCCCCCCTCTCCTGCTCGAGCGCAACGCATTTAGCTGCGGCAAATGCAACCGCCAAGTCAAGTTGCACAAGCCCAAGAGCGACAGCGGTGCTGGCGGCAAGGGCAAGGACAGCAAGGACAAGCCCAAGGATGGTCGCATCGATCCTGTGGCGCTCGCCTTGCAGCCGTCCCAGGCCTCGCAGGCGCAGGTGCTCACCCAGGCCATCGCCGTGGTGCAGGACCCCGTGCTGAGGGCGACGCTCACAGCTGCCTTGCGGCAGCAGCAGGCCCCTCCCGCGACCGACCAGCCGTCCCCTGCCGAGGCGGTCAGGCGCGCGGATGGGGCATGGCGCGACGCCAACACCAAGCACGACCAGGCTTGTGCCCAGGTCGCCCGCTGCAGGGAGCAGCTCGAGAGGGCCTTGCAGCGCGATCAGGAGACTGTTCGGCAGCTGGCCGCCGCTGAGCTGGGCAAGCGAGTTGCTGCGCGGGCTTTGGCGTCCGAGGTGGGCCTGGGCTTCACGCAGCTCTCCGAGTCCCCGCAGAAGGATGGGAGCACCGACGGCGGCGAGCCGAAGATGTTCTCCATCAGCTGGGACCAGGAGTTTTTCGACCAGTTGGATGTGGGCGAGTTCGACTGCGAAGAGAGCGAGCGGACCGAGCTCAAGCGGCTCCAGGCGTAACTCCAGGACACCAAGGGCCTCCTCCAGACGCGCAGCGAGCAGGTCACGGCGTGGAGGGCCCAGATGCTCGACATGCAGAATGGCATCCGCGCGCGCATGGCCAAGACAAGGAAGGGCCAGGAGGGCCAGGGCGTCCCGATTGGGCCAGCCGCCCCGTCTACGCCTACGGCTCCTTC